CAGGCTGAACTCTTCATGCTGAGATAGTCTTATTCGTTGCTGCAACCCCTAGAGTTGCAGCTGAGATTTGGTGCATCCCCACGTGACTTCATGTCACATCACTGTGTCCCTAGCTTCTTAAAATGATGGATTTTCCCTGTTTCACCATGATCTGCCATGCTGCCACTCCACAAATCAGCAGTTTCCTTTTCCTTCTTCCACAAAAGCTTCTCACTGCAAATTTCTTGGCGACCTATTAACATAAGATTTGAAAACCCCGGGGCTTGCGCAGCTCCTCACATGTGGCCAAGGTTTCACAGGAGGGAGCATGTCCTGGGGAGGGGAAGTATCACCTGGTCATCACAGTAGGGCACTGGGGGTCAAAACTGGATTCCTGATGCTGCTGCCACAGACTTGCAGGGCAGCCTTGGGTGAATCATTCTCTCTCTCCATGCTGGGCTGCATTACATCTACAATGCAGCTAATGTGAAATGGGGCACAGATGCCAGCGGGGATCCTGGCAGCAGTCGATGTGATCCCTTGTGTGATGTAGATGGACCCAATATTTTCTTCTCCGTGAAGTGTATAAGACCACCAGTCAAAGTGTTTTGAAGCCTTTCATTCATAAAGTATCCTGTGTCATCCTTATGTTACCAGGCAACTATTATTAGTCCTGATTCTTGTATTCCTGAAGGGAATAGTGAGCAAGAGCATCTTCTAGAGAATTTCCCACACACAGATGAAGTGGACGGAATAAAACCTTCAAGATGGCGTATCACTTCCTGCCATAAATTCTGATTTTTCGATAGTTTAAACCAGAACGATTTTATTGTTTTGCCTTAACTTTTATATTTAAAGCACTGGAGTACTATACCTCCTCTGTGCTGGATGTGCTCCAGTCTAAACAATCTCCATTCAGCTTGTCTAAATTCCCTTCTATAGTTTCAGCTGAATGCAAAATTCTTTCCTGCTCCTGCATCTAAATTGCCATGTGCTGTTCCTGAGGGCTGCAGGACAGCTCTTGTGTTCCTCTGTGGAAGTGGCAGCATCTCAGTAGTGTGTGAAGCTGGGTCTGTGTAATCCTTCAGGATCTTTCAGGATAAAAAGCTACTCTATAAATAATATATCATTTTCATTGTCAGTCCGGATTCAGGAGTGAAATGATCCCACTTAGTTAAAGCAGGATGAAGTGTCTATTTTCATATTTGTTTAATTGAACCACTCAGCGTGTCTGATAGTAATGGCTTTATTTGAAGCATGTGGTTCTTATGAGCTGTTAAGATACCAATAGCATTTGGATTAGTCTTTCTGCCAAGAAAGCCAGGTCAATTCTTCAGGAAAATAAAAAAACTAAGGCAAACTTTATTTTAACAGTGTCTTGAGTTTCACTTTAGGTTCCATAAATATTTGTCAGTGTTCCTTTTGTAAGACCCATGCGAGCCTTTGGCAAGACATGAGGTCTATCTCCAGAACACGGAGTATAAATAAATTCCCCAAACCATGCCGGAGAATTGGAGGTAACTTTAGCCCATGCAAGAGACCTGAAGCCAAGCGAAGGGTAGATCATGGTACTTGAATTACTATTTCTAATAGAGGAGAGGGAATAGGGGGAAAAAAGGAAAAACACAGAGAGAGGAAAATATAAACATTTGTAGAAGGTATGTGGGAGCCCACACCATCCTGTGCAGAAAGGTGGAGGTCATTTACCAAGTCAATGACAGAAATGTGACTTCTGCTTGAATTCCAGTTGCTGTCTGCTCCTAATGCTTCCAGAAAAGTTAACAATAGTTTCTCATGCCCTAGAGGATAAAAGAGGAAATTTCACATTCTTGATGAGGACTGGTAATGCCATCTACTTCAGAGGAACAGGCCAGAAAAGCGCTGTGGAGCCACCCTATGTGCCCCCTTCCCCCAATTTCCTCTGAATACCTTTGATATTCTTGAGAACTTGGTTTACTTCTGTGGTTTTCAGAGCTATATCTAAGAAAAAAAAATAAAAAGCCCATGATGATTTCAAAGACTTGCCTATAGTTAAGTACTTAACCAGAGGTTTAGGGTGCAGGGCTTTTGATTTAAGAGCAAGCCCTGTTCTGTGCAGTTGAGGGGGGAAATAGCTGAAATTTTATCCTATCCCTGACCACAGATTGAGATTACCAAAGCAGTGCAAAAGCAGGGAGTCAGAATGAAGGAGGTGTATTGAAGGAAGCGGGACCTTGGCTTCTAGCAATGCGCTCTGGTTGCTGGATCACCTCCAATAAAAATTTAAATTCAGACAAGCTGAATGCCTTATTTGTCTGGTTAAAGGGGAGGAAGGTGGGAATGGGTGAAGTTTTTCCTCTACCTCTGAACATTAAAATAATGGTAGTAGGATGTGAAAAGTACATATTCCTGAAGAATGTACTGTTGTAATATCAGATAGTTAGCAACTGGTTTATTTTCTTCTTTAGGTGCATAAGCTGAAAAATTACAAAGCATGGACAGATAGAGACATGGGAGGGGGTTGCTGGAGAAGAACCCTTTTTATAGTGAGATGGGAGCCTACCTGTCCATAGATTTAGAATTTCCTACAAAATGCTGGACATCTCTGCTCTCCCTTTAATTTAATGGGAATTGAGTGTTGCCCACACTTCACAAGATCAGACTGTCTCTTTGCGTGCAGGATTTCCAGCAGTGATCAATGATCTCCATGCCAGTCCTCAGTTGTCTGCAAGTACTAAAAGAAAAATATAAAAGAACCATTAACCCCATGTTTTCTGCTTCCACAGACAGCTGTCTGGGGCCCTGTAGTAGTTGATACTCTATAGCTTTCTATTCCTGCCACACTGTTCCTACGTGTGGTTTTGGAAACAATGACTGAGGTTTGCGAGCAGTTCCTTAATCTGGCTACTATGGGCGTTAAGGAAAAAAAAAAATCAGGTAACAACCTCCATCTGCAAAACTACTTCTGGTTTTGTGACTGGGCTTAATACACAGTGAGCACAGTCAGATCATTTTTTATTTAAAAATACCCTCTCTCCCTCACCAAAACAGGAAGCATCTTTCCAGGAATGCTTGGGAAAGTGTTTGACTTTTATGTCACTGACATTACTGGAGAAAGTTTTAAACAACATTAAAGCCAGCAAAGGTTTAGCCAGACAGAAATACTTAGTGAACTCTATAGGAACAAAAGCTGCCTCTTCCTTCTTTCTAATGTGAGACTGTTTTCTCCGCAGTGTATGTGTGTGTATCTGTCCATGGCTACATAGAATCATAGAATTGTTTAGGTTGGAAAAGACCTTTAAGATCATCAAGTCCAACCATTAACCTAACACTACCAAGTCCACCAGTAAACCAATTAAGGGTAGAGTAATAATTAATTTCATGTCTCCTGGCTTGGTGGCTGGATTATTTTTTAATGAAAGTAAAACTAGGAATCATTAAGGTTGGAAAGGACCTCTAAGATCATCAGTCCAACCATCAACCCAACAGCAATGAACAATTATTGGACCATAAACGATGGCTGAAATGTGGAGTGTGTCCCTACTTGGGAGACGCTGCCCGGGATCATGTCCTGATCCTGTCACGTAGGCACCACAGGTTGCCCTGGTCTGTCCAGGGTACCGTACCTCATGCCTGTCACAGATAGCAGTGTGCACACATTAAGCGAGTTCAAGGCAACTAGAATGTTGTAAGCCCATCACCTACCTTTGTTCATTCTTTCTTATTCTTAAGATGCTAACATTTTTCTTCCCAGGGTAGGGTTTTTTTTAAAAAAAAATGATGGGGTTTCAGTTGTCCTTTGGAGCTTCATAAACCTTGCTAAAAAAAGCTTTTCAGCCCATTTCTTAATCCTATTCCATTATATAGCTCATGCCAATGATACGGTTTGGCAACTTGCTGTTTACCTTTCAGCACAACATCCAAAAAAGTGCAGGAGGGGCAGAGTCCCAGCTAGTGTACGCTGGCAGCGTGTCTACAGGCATTTCTCTGCCTGCAGGCCAAGGAGTTGCATTACTTAGGAGATGGTGCAGCATTTACAGGAGCTGCTGCTGAGCACAAGCTCCCGGCTAACGAAGGAGGAGGGGAGGGATGCTCGCTTCGTTCCTGCACCAAGGGCTATGGTTTACACAGCTTCATTGTATTGCACAGGGCTTTCCTGCCCTGCAGCTTGACTTGCTCCGTGACAAATTATTCCTTAATTGCTGGATGGCAGAAGAAAAGCTTTACAGCCCTGAGGTTATTCCTAACAAATCAGGTTACAGAAGCCTTGAAAATTATATTGAGCAGAAAAAAAGCGCCATGAGGTTTCCTTGGGTGCTTGGACTGTGTTAAGCTTGACTAAGGCAATGTGCTAATGAAGCTTGTTAAAATGCAATTATACTTTAATGCTGTGGATGCAGAAATGAGGATAATCAGCAGAGAGGTGCTAGTGAAGCTGTTGTGATTAGCGTGATTTGTGGGTGTCACTGCTGTGCTCAGGACCTTCAGCCCACTGTGCAAGGTGCTGTCTGAACACAACAAGAAAGCTGTACCCAAAGAGCTGCCTGGGGGCATGAGATGAAGGATGATGGCAGGAAGATGGGGAGATAGGTGGAGCAAAGCAGCAGTGAGATGGTGCTGACCATGAGGACGAGCAGCAGTGTAAGGCTTAGCTGCTGACCTACAATCCTGGGTATCTGGTGCAGGAAAGCTTTAAGGAGTGGTGCGCGGGGAGAGAGCTGAGCTGCTCCCACACAAGGCAGTCAGCTTGGCAGAAAACACCTATGACCTTCTTTGAAAAATGTAACAAGGGAGGAGGGAGCCTGGACTTCTGGGCCAGTTGGAAGACAGTGGACCTCTGGTACGGAAGAGGTGATAGCGACAGTGGGGAAAGGCCAGGAGGAGCCTTGACAAGTGAAGAAAAGTAGCAGCCGTTTGATGTGGCAGGGAAAGGGAGAGCTAGGTGCAAAGAGAAGCAGATGTGGCCAGAGCGGTGCCTAGAAAAAAATGAATATGAATGAGGCAAGAGTGTGTTTTGTCAAGGCTGGAGCAGAGGAGTCGTGATGAAATATGACGGGAGCCTGTATGCAAACTGCAAGCGAGTGGATGGACAGCCAAGGCTGGGGCTTATCACTGAGCTGCAGAAAGACTCTGCGGCTCGCAGTCCGAGCCGAGATGTGGAGAGCTGGAGGGAGAGCGAAGTAGAAAATAACACTCAGGCCATGGGCCTGAGTGACAGGCAGGATGGTAGCAGTGTCTGCAGCAATTAAGGAAGGAGATGGGGAGGGGGAGGAAGATTAAGAGCTCTGAGCTTGAGCTGACAGCTCGACATCCATGAGATGTCAGAGAGACAGGCAAGGTTTTCGTCCGAACAGAGGGAGACAGGCCCGGATGATCGGATCAGACAACTGGGGGGACTGATTTATGTGAGAAGATTAAAAGAGCTGCTTGTAAATGTATGTATAGCTTGGCTAAGTGACACCTGAGGGGACAATAACTGTCTACAAGTGTATGAAGGGATTGGATACTGGAGCCAGGAGGAGGGGGAGGGAACAGTTTAGGAGCATAGATGAGGATTTTGACTAGAGGCACTCAAAGAAGGTGGAGCAAAGCGGGCTGTATTGCCCAGGTAGGGAAAACATCCCCCTGCAAGACTGGGAAGACTCTTTGCTGAGATTTCTTTTTCATTTAAAAGAAACCTGCATATCTGTCTAGGCACCCATCTGCACGCCTCTCATCACAGGGTGCCTGGCAATCTACTGTTTGTCCTCACAGCACCCCACGAGAGGGAGAAGTCCCTGTGTACAGTTGTGGCGCTTCGGTACCGTGTGTGACCCTTGCTATCTGACTTGAATCAAGGACCTAAGACAGTATCTTAACCATTAGGCTCTCTTTCCTTTTACTTGTCTCTGTTTTAAAGGGTCAGTCCTGTTAGTACAGTGAGATGGATGGGAAGGAGACCTAACAGGTCTTCTCCAGCCTACAGTTTGTGTGGTCTTCTCCACATGTTCCTTATAATTTTTTACTCCTTATAAAGTTTTATTCTTCTGTGAAGCCAAGGGGAGAAGAAGCACGTATTACTTTGTTGCTTATTCCTACACGAGCTCATCCCATCAGTGCAAGAGAGCAAGTTTGGGAGGGAACCACTGGAAGTAGCATGTTCAGATGGGGAGTTCAGATTGAAGCAGTTTTGCCCTAAACACACCTAGAACGGATCAGCGTCCTGGATAGCAGCGGGAACAGGGTGCATGTACCATTGAATTATGTTGCTGGTTCCTGTCTGGTCACAGCTATAGTCACTGTTGTTTTGGTTGTCAGCTGTGTGGTTTGTTTTCCTAAGGCAAATGACAGACTGGTCTAACTCATAGAATCATAGAATCATTTAGGTTGGAAAGGTCCTTTAAGATCATTGAGTCCAACTGTTAACTTAACACTGCCAAGTCCGTTGCTAAACCATGTCCCACTAAACCGTTAACCTAACACTGCCAAGTCCACCACGAAATCATTCAGACCAAACGGCTCTATGTCAGCGCCAGGACTGCCTCTCTGGGATCCATCAGCTGAGGATCTCAAAGCACACATGCAACTCTTTGCAAAAAATGACTCAGTTTCCTAGCTGGTGAAATAGAGGCGATCTGAGGTCAGAAAGAAAGCACGTGGGAGATGGAGGAATAGTATATATCATGTATTCTGAATCCCAGTCCTCTGCTGGGCTCATCTGTGGGCTGTGCAGTCCAGTGCCTTGTCTCTGTCCATGGCCTTTTCAGCTAGTTCAGAAGGAGATGCAGGGCATTTTGCAGGAGGCAGCTCCAGAACAAGCTGTCTGTTGGCAGACTTGGTTTCCTAACGCTGGTTACAGACTGCCTCATATTTTACAGGACCTGAGTTTCTGTTTCTTCTGAGCAACACTGGTCAGAACATGGGAGGGTTTTTCTGCTGGGAAACTTGAACAAAAGCACCAAGAAAAGTAAAAGAAATCAGGAAAAAGTGGAACCACCCCAACTTTCATGATGTTGATTTTCTGGTGAAGGTTCTGCTGTGGTACCAGATGTGGGTTACATCTCAGAGAAAACTTTCAAAGAGCCCTACTTCCAAGGCTAAATAAGTAACTGGCTACTTCCTTCTGTCTGAGTGTCCTTTTTGTACCTATCCCTGTCTGGCTGATCTTTAGGTTGGTGTCCTAAGGAGATGAGATTCATGTGGCGACATTTTTCGAGGGTTGATCCATCTCCATTCCTTCTAATAGCCTTTGAGCCTATCAGCCAATTTCGGATGTATCTGAGAAGGAGCAATGTGGGAGTTAATAAGTTCTTACAAACCCTGTGGAAATGGGAAGCCATGTAGATGGGAGTGATTGTAATAATGCTGCATCCCACTACCACCATGCTTGAGGCAGAGGCCATTGCATGGCTTCAGCTTTTTCTAAATGTTAGAGGGAGATGAATGCACCAGCACCAAACAAGCAAAAAAATAAATGAAGGTGACAGCAGGTTCTTGCCCCTTAAGAGGCACTGAGAAATCTTACTAATGCCAAACCAAGTACCTTAGTCTCACTGTGCATTAGCAATAAAAACAGGTGGGACCCAAATAATACAGAACCAAAATTGTCTTTTGCAGCTCTTCATGCAGACTTTAGCTGCATTTTAATGGTGTAGCGCTTCAGCAGAGACCATAGGTCTACTTTTTTTTTCCTGCAAGGTGTTCATTCTTGACCTCGGCAGTCACAGTTAAAAGCAGAGCTCCTTGCTCTGACTTTCACTTCTATTTCAGCAGG